ATACCACCTGGTTATTACTACTATGGTGCCTCAGCTGGACGTGAATGGTTCATCGACCCAACTAATAAATTCAAAGATACGAGCATACCGGAGAAGCACCTTGCTATGTTGGATGATGTTAGTAATGAATGAAAAATATTTTAGTGGCGTGACTTCGAGCATTTTCGTTTTTCAGGTTTTTGAACAAGTCTCACATCTGTTAGAGCGACAAGAATATCGAGTATTCACATGGGTAGGCTCAGGTCTCCAGAAGCACTACGGTCATTTGACAATAGCTCATCAGGATATCTATAACTCAGTAAGCTCAGGTTTTTGTCTAGCTTTGTGCAATTGTTGAAGCTGTATGAAAACACTTTAGGTGAGCCAAACCTTAAGCGATCAAATCTTCGAAGAAATCAACCGAATCGTAATTTTGGTGGATCCAGAAGGATCAGTTTTGGATGTGATTAGATCGAATTTGGATATTAAAGTTATGTTGAAGGTAAGATGGGAATCGCGATGATATTTACTAGTTTAAGCGGCAGTGTCTAGAAAATCAGATATCTCTTTTTGTCAGTGGCGATTAACCTTTGTTTTAGGATAAAGGAGCTGGACAGTATTTCAATAAAGGTCATGGAATAAAAATGCTTTGTGAAAAGATGAAATGTGATTTAAAGGTGAGAAATAGAAGTCTTCTCTAGATCAACCTTGATAATTTTTCGCTTATGCTCTCTTTCTTCCAGGAAGGAAACATTTTGGTTTGTGGTGACTCTGCCACGGATTTACCCATGCTAGAAGAATGCCTAAGGCAAAATCCCTCTGGTGTCTATACCATTTGGGTTACATCAAATCCAAATTTGCAGAAGCAGGTAACTTTAATGCTATATTGCAGAGAACTTACGCTGTGGGGGGCTTACTCTAGTGTGATTGAACGGTAACTTGCTCATAATCCTAGTAGCTTCAATGTAGAATTTACATCGTGGGAGAAGTATACATATATTTGTCAAGTCAATTTTAATACACACTCCATTCGGTATTGCAATTTTTTGTGGTTTGCCTGCACTACAATTTGCTTATAACTAACACAGATAAAAGTGGAACTTATGACTGTTACATACTTACCATTGGTATTCTCGTGATTCAATGCAAAATAACTTGCAAATGTTGAAACTTTTGGCATCCATTATATTTCACACTTAAGAATATGCTCCAAAAAATTTGAGCCTATGTGATGGTAAGGTGCGCTAGAAACTGATGAAATTGAATCTTAGAAACATAGATCATCTGCAGATATCTGATCAAACTTTCATATTTGTCTTTCTTACTTTTAAGGTAATGTCGCTTTATAAAAAGAAGCGCTATTGAATACACCTTTTGTCATTGCCATGAATTATTCTACATCCAAACTCAACTGCTACACTCTAATTTAGTCATAAATTCTGTAGAATGGCTTGGTCTCACCGTAAACACCATCTTAAAGACGTAGAGGCCATTTGATCCCACCGCTGTGCCTGCCCATTACAACGAAATGAACAACCAACTTACCACGTACTTCACAACAAAATTGCTCATGTTTACTTAGTGTTCTGCAGTTAACATGATAACGATAAATAACTGCTCTTTGACTTCCTTGGGATGAACTAATTTCGTGACAGACAGAGAAACACGCATTCACGCACACAATACAGACAAATTTAGCGCTTCATTATAAGTAATGATAGCAAATGAGTTGCTTTGAGCATATGACTCTATAGTTTATAAGAATTTATATGTTAAGCCAGGCTATTATTCCAGGTTCGAGATCTCTGCGGATCGCACAACAACAAGAACATTGCATTTGTCAGTTGCCCCGAAGTGCTGCTTGGAGCAATGGCTGAAGCGACTATTCGAGAAATCAGCATAGCTCGACCGAGAGGAGAGTAGGAAATAGTTCAACCATAGACCATTTCTTGTGATTTTCTTGTATTTCCCATTTTATACCCGTCATTTCTACTAAAGCCTTGTAAAACGGTTCTATGCGCTTACGGGCATCGGGTGCGTGCGGCAAAAAGAAATTCTTTCGCTGCAGTTATACAACCTATTGTAACCTAGTTTTTCATTTTTTCCTCTCGAAAAATCGCATGAATTATGTGTTTGATTTTTGAACTCGAAAAGTGTCTATTTGTGTGCATACGTAGTTGCGTATTGTGCACATTATTCCTCGTTATATAATCCTCCCTCTCTCATATTTATATGAAGGACGTGTACCTTATCACCTTCAATGCCTTTTTGATGAATGACGAAGTTTCTTTTGAGGACAAAGCCATCCCTTCCGCCCGCTGCTACTGTGATTAGTATGGCACTTCATCTCTATTGCCGGCTGGTTTTTCAAATGTTAATTTCTCATATTTGCCTTCAATGTAAAGAAAATTTGATTGCGAGAGGTTAGAAGTTCTCCTATATACTAATTATGATTATTCATCTTACTCATAAAGATCGCAAATATGATGCTTGATTTGTCAGACAAATGGAGCAGAATTACACATTATAGAATGAGATGTCTCAGAACAGAGGGAAAATATCCAGAGTAGTTTTAAATCAAATATTCATTACTCTGAAAAGCACAGCCCTTTAAGTTACTGTGACAGCTGAAAATCCTCGGTGATTTTTTTGTATCTGGTAACAAGTTCGATCTTGCTGAGTGCGTACAAGAGAACAAACTGCTAGAATATAAAGTTACAGGGAAAATCGTGTGCAATTACTTAATTTACTCTACGTTGTTAAAAAAAACTCGGGATAAAATTTTTCCGAAACCCGTCCTATAGTCCCATTCGATGGAAAATTTATAGCAAATTCCGAATTAAATTGAGCAGTGGCGACTGTTTCGAATACACAATATGAGAAACCCAACATAATATGTAAAGTGCTAGATCTGCATCTTATAAGATCTACACACGACACATCATAATGATTATGTTGAGCGTATCAAGAAGTGCGAAAGTATTGGATCGAAACTCAATAAGAAATCAAACCCGCTAGAAAGAGAAATCAGAGAGCAAATTGGGAAAATGTGGGGAAAGTGAAATATCCTCAATGAGTCATGTGGTTCCATAATAAGATAAGGGAGAGAAACAATGTCAAATGATTCCAGAAGATTCTTATTGGAATTTGTTGTCAAGTGTTTGCATGAGCAATACTATAAGTCTGAACTAGTGTATAATTATAAGGGTCTTATTGAAAATCAAAGCATAGATATTTGAGCATTACTTCCAATTTTTCCAGTCATTTAGCCAGTACTCTCAAAACTTTACTTTCTGAACCCATATATATCCTGATAAAACTTTAGAGCAATACTGTTTATTTAAGCGTAATGAAACCCCGAAAATCTCTACACTTCATGATTTATTGCATGCCTTTGTTATTATAGGCGATGGTGATGATCTCAGATTATGATATGTGCGATTGAGTTCGCATCTCTCGAACGTAAACTTATCACTTGCACTGATATACGAACGATAATCGTGTTAATGTCACATTCTCTTTACCTCATAGAATTGCTTTCATTGGTAATTCAACGATTTCCAGAGAAATAGGCTCTAGCGCTTTTGATAGATATCGTCTTTTCTTTGAATGTGTAGTTGCTTATTTTGCAATTGAATTTGAACAATTTATTTAGATAATACGAATGACTGCAGTAAATCTTACTATATGTACATCTATTGTATTGTTGTTCATCATCCATATCGGTAAGTCTATTGTACAACTCACTGATTGCTTGTCTTGGAAAATAAAGCTGATTGCTTGCTCAACCTTTTTTCATCTCTAAAAGTAGCAATCTTCTAGTAATTCCACGCTTAAATAATACTATCTCTAAGTGCAACAGTTTCTGTTTTTATGTCCCTCAATTAGGCTTCAACGAAAAAAGTGCTCAAAAACTGTTCTGCAGACATTACAAACCCTTGCATGAACTTCTTTATTCAAGAGCAAGTAAGAAAAAAAGAATGCAAAAGAAAATTGCTTTGCAATATCTTTCAATGAGAGATACGCTGAGGATTAGAAAGTGTACATTTTT